TTTTTTTTTTTTTTTTTTTTTTTAAGATTTTACAATTTTGCTATACTCAACGATACGTGAAATGCATGTCCAAGGCAAGCGAACCGGAATAAGTGCGTGAATGTCACACACTTGTAAGTGAGTGGACGCCACTCGTAAACGGGGAGCGAGGGTACAATTGTGTGAGTTTTCAAAGGAAATTCACACCTCAACTCATTAAGTGTACGAATTCACATTCTTGCGTTTTTAAGGCGCCCTCGCGCGCGCGTGTGTGTGTGGAAGTGGGCGCGCGCACGCGCGTTCTGATTGGAGTGTACTTTGCTGCATATAAACAAGACCGCTGCTGAAGGCGCCTCGACGCCTCCACCCCCTCGGCTTTTGTCTCCCCCATGCTACCGCTCGTGCTGTAATAGTATAGCAAACGGGCCACCACCACCACCGCCGCCGCCGCCCCCGCACCACCACCAGGTGCCGGCGTCAGCTGGTACCCCCTCATCTTTCCCCAACCCCGTCCCCCTCCCCCTCACCTCTCCGTTCCCCTTCACCGCATCAGGCACCCCGTGGCGGGGCGTGGCGGGGCGTGGAGGGGCGTGGCGGGGCGTGGCGGGGCGTGGCGGCTCCGGGAGCGAGCAGGTCCCCGGGGTGCAGCGGAGGTCGGAGGGGCTGGGGCCGGATGGTCGGGCGGGCAGCAGTCCGAGGGGTCGAAGTTCAGAATTAACACCCTTCAATAATTCACAACGAGAGTGAAAGAGAAAAACAGAGAGGGGAGAAAAAGAGGGCAGAGAAAGAGAGAGAGCGAGCGAAGGGGAGGGGGAGAGAGAGAGAGAGAGAGAGAGAGACAGAGAGAGAGAGACAGACGCGAGAGGGAGGGGGGGGGGGCTGTGTGGCCCACGGACCTCAGTCTCTATCATCGTTGTCCCACGGGCGCAAGGCGCGCGGCCTGGTTGCCTAGATCGGACACACATGGAAGGCGACGGGCAAACCAACTCCGGGTACAGCCGAAGCAAAGAATCAGTCAGGCATGAGTGTTTGTCACACTTTTCTACGGAGAGAAAACGCAACGATTGCGATTGAAAAGGGAGGGTAGAGGGTTAGAGAGGCCGATAGGGAGGGAGGGGGGCGGGGGGTTTGAAGGGCAGGGCAAAGGGCAGGACGAATGGCGGCGGCAAAGGACAGCACGGCCCGGCTGCTGAAGCCCGAGGTAGAGGTAAATGCGTTAATCAAGACATTGAGTAATTTTAGGTTAGGATATGCTCCGCTCGGCTCGGCTACGCTGCTGCTGCCTCGCTGCCGCGGCGCCGCCCGCCTCACCGACTGACTGACTAGCCGTCTGCTGACCGGACTGACACAGATTACACAGTGGCCTGCGGAGCCCGGCGGAGCCTGCGCAACATTCTGTACAATTACTGGGGCTGCGCTGTGCGCGGCGCTGCTGGACTGGTCGGCTGCGGTGGTCCTCCTTTGGGTAGACGAAGGGCCTCCAGGAGGCTGGGAAATAACTCTAATCCAGGCTGGGGGCGACATGAGAATAAGATTGGGCGGGAGAGGGCATTGTAAACCTCAGCAAAATTCATCTACACAAGATGTTATTCCAAAAATAAGAAATCAGCTGCCAGAGCTTACAATAAAGCTATGAGCAGCTTGTACGAATTAATCCAGTCTTTAAGCCCTGAAAGCTTCCATTTTTTGAAGAGCTTATATTCGGTCGAGATCGAAGTGTGAGACTGCTACATTAACTAGCGGGTAGCACAAAGTTCTCTACATAAGGCTTTCCTGTGAAGCACAAGAGTGCTCGAAATTTGACATTGGGCCATAGCAGAGTCTACACACAACAGTGCAGTATTAAAATGAAGTCTAAGTCCATATTGAAGTCAGTTGATTGGAAATGGACAAATTGCATTAATATGAAAATCCAGTCTGGGGTTTGTTTGTTGGGGGCACCTCGGCGACATCTGTGCAGCCACGCGTCATACATCCGGTATCGGGTACTTCCGTCGTCGAGGTTGGGGAGGGAGAGAGGGTTGTGAGCTGCAGGACGCACCTCGCGCCGTCTGGGCTTTCTGAGGGTGACTCGGTGTCTAAATATTGGCGTCGCAAATCAACGCAATGACCACATAAGGTCAGCTGATAGAGCAGCAGCGAGAACAAAGTCAGTGATTCGTCTATTACACCATGTCGTATGACCGACAAATTCACTAGAAAAACAAAGGTGCGTTATTGCACTTTTTTTAGACCTGTTAATGTTGTACTGCATCAAGGAGCAATCCCAAGTAGCAAGTTATTCAGAGCCTTAGTCTTAGTACACATTTGTTTTCCCAATGTTACCATCTAGTAATGTGAACCATGACTGAGACGGATCGGGGTTGAGACATAATTTTGCCACCCAAATATATGGAAAGGAAGAAGATGATCATGTTGACTCAGAGCCACTCGATCTATCAACGCACATTCTAGGAAACAGCTAAACCAGAAATCAGTTTGTTTTTGTCAGTTTCAGAAAAATATCGAAAGTCGAAAGACATCTTGGCAAAAACATCTTTAGGCCACCAAGCGAAGTTCCACGTGTCTAAGGTCGGCCGTAGAAGAGGATTGGATTATCATGAAAAAGGTTATAAACTTTGTCGGAATGACCTCACCCACCTCCGTTACTTCAGTACGGCGTGAGGGGCGAGGGGCGGGGGCAGAAGCAGGGGAGGGAGGGGGCGATGCAGCCCGGTGGGTGCAGCAGTGCGCCGGCTGGCCAACGCATTATAAAGGCATTAGGAGTTCTGTCATCCACACTGAGGTGAGGCGCGACGGCGGATCTGCGGCCACTGAGAGAAACCACACACACACACACACACACACACACACCACCACCACCACCACCCACACACACACACACACACACACACACACACACAGAGCGGGGCGGGTGACTTTTATTTTTGACGTGCGCGGTCAGGTGAAGCATCAATTGCAAAAAACACAGGGTCAACAATCAACGACACAATGGTCCTGTACCGGATCCACAGGGCTGCGAACGACCACGGACGACCTCCGTTAGGTAATTTACGCTTACCAATTAAAAACAATCCATGAAGGGTCTCACCTGAAGGAACATATCACCGTCCAGTGGAGTGTGGTCGTATGCTGTTAATTCCCCTCGACTTCTGTAGTGGGGATCTTCTTTGTCTTTGTGCATAGTAACTGAAACAAAAATTAAAAGCCATAATTAGAATAGAAGTGTGACAATCGACACCGTGTTAGCACCCGGGATATCACAACACCCAATAATTGGTAAATTCTTCACATGTATCGCACCTTTATTTTGAATAAAAAAAGTGCTAGTCATGTTTCTCACGCTTATTAATCGGTGTATAACGTGTCTGAAAGGGTGAGTTGGCGTATCTGGCTGTGCACACACTGACTCAAGTATCGGTAGCACCCCTCGATCTGTCACGACCACTGACGCCCTAACTAGCCCCATCACGTCTTCACACAACGCGCACCGGGAGGGGGAAACTTTCAGCGTCACCCCGTGACTCGGCAGAAAGGAGTGCTCGACGCTAATCAGACTGATGCCTCTCTTATCAAGGAAACAGAGAAGCACACAGTTTAACTAACTCGCGCGTTGAGAGAGAGAGCACCCACCTTTCATTGGCATTATTGAGGGCAAATTCTGGTATGCAGGTAGTGAAAAATACGATGCAATGCCTCGCGTAACAGGTTTCGCGATGTCGCGTGAAACACGCTGCCACTTCACTACAATCGACTTTGCGATATTGACAACAGAAAACAAGAGAAAAGTAATGGTTGGGCATTCCAACTATTCATAGCTCCCTGGTTGCTCCCTCGTTACTGTTACTGCAAATAAAATTTCCCATTGCAAAGGAAATTTCAGACTTCAGACCAGTATTAATGGCACATTTAGTGTGTAGGCTATCGAAATGTCGCGATCTGTGTAGCTTTCTTCTCAGAAAGTTTTACGTCGCTACATCGCGATTCGTTCTCGAGATGTACTGACAGACGCCAGGGCGTTATCACGAAACCGAAATTGTTTTAGCCGTCAACAAATGATCAGAAGTGTAGAGTAATGACAACTGGCAAGCAAAAGTAAGAGTCTGATTTCGGAAAAAATAATACAAATAAAGTGAAGAGAAAAATGAAAGACGGAACAATATCAAGTAAGGTAAGGAATAGCATGAAATTCCCGGGCTTACACTCACATACAAATCCAACGGAAACACTAAGTGGCAAGTCTGTGTGTGTGTGTGTGTGCGTGGCGAAATGCTCTGAAGGCCAGGCGTACGGTTCGCTCATACGGCCTTGCCCCGCCCCGCCGGCGTGCGCCGCGCACGCGAGGAGACACGCTCGGACACACGCACGGGTTGGGGGAAAGGAGGGGGGAGGGGGGCTGTAACCGAATCAGAAACCTTTCAAACAATCATTTCTTTTGCGGCATATGATAAAGAGAAAATATTTATGGAAACGAACACAGTATTTGTCTGAGTTTGACATTTCATTGCATGGCTCTTAAGGCTGTTTTCACCTCCGTCGAGGGCTACACAACCTGAAAACGCTGTGTTTTGTCCATTCGTTAGTATTTAATGAAATCCGAGCGTTCACTGAAAACTGAATGGCGTCTATGGACGCCAAATTTCGGAGTTTCCTGAAAGAACGCCACACTGCAAAAAATTAGAGTCTAATACGGAACGATCTACGGTGTAACTGTAGATGCTGCTCTTAGTCACTGCACGTAGGGTACAGAGCGCGGAGCAAAGTGTCGCTTTAGCACCAGAAAGCCCAGGTTTTACACGGTACAGTGTACGAATACGGCTCCACTGTAGACAGTTTTGTCCGGTTTTGCCTGTACGGTGGTCCTGCACATTGCTCTCCGTACCAAATTTTAACCATTGCAACTACAGCAATACTCGAATAACAGACGTTGCTGGAAAATAATTAGCGGTCGATGCTGTCATTTTTCCTGTCATAATTTTTTGCAGTGCAAATATTGGCACCGTTGAACGCCAAAATTTGACGTTCTTTCGCATAAGACGTGACGAAATATGGTGTCTTTGAATGCCAAGATATAGCGTTGCATTGATTGAAACTGAAAATAGAACTTTTCCTCTCATACGTTTGCCAGATCTGGTCCATATTTTAAACGTACGCTGCATGCGAACTGGCGTGCCGCAGCTCGTAATTAAAAGCACTCCCTTCCTCCACCTCCTCCCAGACCTGACGCCTGTTGTCAACGAGCCCTCTCCACCTTGAAGAAAAAAGGAAGCAAACTAGCGTAACGCGGCTCCCCTCTAAGAGAACAGAGGAGCAGCGCGGTTAAAGAGAGATGTACCGAAATTAAGGGAGGTGACTTACATTGTCAAATAGCTCCCATTTAGACGTGCACAAATAATTCAAGAGATCAAAAATTGATGGGGCATGTAGAAAAAAATCGACATTGTATTGTTACAAAAATTAGAGGAGTATAAAGGTTGCTGCTGCAGGAGAAAAAAGAATTGAAAAGGCACAGGAGTTGAGTCGTATGTGATGGCGTTCGCGTGCGCGCGAGGCGGAGCAGAAGTACCAGCAAGGGAGTGGATACGATGGGTACGCTCCCAAACATTACGGCCAGGGGGGAGGGGGGAGAGGGGGGGAGAGAGGAAAGAAGAGAGAGAGAGAGAGAGAGAGAGAGAGAGAGAGAGAGAGAGAGAGAGAGAGAGTCATTCTAAGACCGCCAGCGAACGTGCAGTCCCCCCCTCCTCCTCTCTCTTGTCCTCCCTCTCTCTCTCACACACACATGCTGTATAAATCACGACACACTAAATGTATCGTCAGGTTTGTGTAAAGTACTGCCTGCCCTCGAAACAGAGCAGCAAGCGCGGACGCGGCGGGAACCAAGAGTTGTTTTATAATTGATGACATGGTTTCCTGTCCACCGCTCTTCATATTTGTGTGAGGTTGTGTTGTGCAGCGATGGCCCTTTCGGAACATGGAGCAAAAGGTAACGTGCAAAGCACCCCACCCCGACAAAAAAATGCGCAACATTTTCTTAAATGCATAATGGTGTGCTCAATTAATTGTCCTTTTCTTAACTGAGCAACTGCAGTCGGCGTAGAAGATGAAGAACGCGGTGTAAATCACAGTATTACACAAACACCCAACGTCCACGCCGTATTTCAACGAAAACATCACTTGACGAAAAAGTTATAGGGACATAGACTGGTAGAAGAAAGGATTCATTAGAACCCCCGTAGCGCCCCGAAATGAGCTCCTTTAAACAAACATAATACCAATCCAATAGCTTTTTCTTCCTGGTCCTGACTGCTTCGGTCTAAACTCAACAGACGAAAAAAATCACATAATAATTTAAATGCAAAAAAAGTCAAAAAGAAAATCATACTTTAAAGTCAAAATGCCCTGGATGTTAAAGCCACAATGCAGCACAATATCCTAAATAAAGGAGGGTCTTCACAGATTTTTACTTTTGCTCTAATCAATAACCCGGCAATAAGTACACTACAAGTAAAGGAGTGATCTTTTTCGCTCCCAGGAGAGCGATATCAGTGAAGCCAATTTGACGACTCTTGGGAGAGCGATATTAATTACATCGCTCGTTTGCAATAACTTTTCGCGACATTTTTGGTTACGAATAAGACTAATTTTGAGTCATTTTCGCAAACGTCGCTCGTTTAGGGTCGTTTCTGCGACATTTTCTGTTACGGAGAAAGACTCATGTTGAGTCATTTCGCAAAAATCGCTCTAACAGAGCGATGACGCCTATACGTCGCTCTATTCGGGAAAGAAAGGTCACTCTTCGTTTTACAGTGTACACACATGCCGATAAAGGCTGGCGCTGCAGCGTGGCACGGCTGGCAATACTTCAGTCTGCTGCAAATAACCGACAAGTAGTCACCGAACGCTTGACTCCGGACCGGCTCCGCGGAGCTCCGGGGGTGGCGGCGCCCTACCGCGCGAGCGGCCTGACCGCCTGCCCGGAGCCGGCCGCGCCCCGCCACAGCCGACGGCGTTATTGGCGGGATTTGCAAAGTGTTAAAGAGTTTCCCTATGAGTTGAACACTTTGTCAGTGTACACGTGGTCTCAACATTATCATTTTCAACAGTCTCCCAAAGACAAGGACGGGTTTCTTGGTTTGCCCTGCGTTTAAGTCTCCCTCTTGGTGCGGGCGCCCAGACAGGCAGGAGAACTGGCTACGACCCCCCCCCCCCTTTTCCCCCCACACTAGTCGAGTCGGGAAGCGCTCGCAGCGTGTTATGTGTTTAAATCATACTAATAGCCGCAGGTCGGCATAGCCTTACTAGTAGGGACCCGACCAGGAGCACCGGAAACAGCCGGTAGCAGCAGTGGCTACCGCCATCCACCTACGTGATTCTGATCTCCCCCCCCCTCTCTCTCTCTCTCTCTCTCTCTCCCCC